ATTCTATTCTATTCTATTCTATTCTATTCTATTCTATTCTATTCTATACTATTCTATTCTATTCTACTCTACTCTACTCTACTCTACTCTACTCTACTCTACTCTATTCTATTCTGTATTTCCTTGATTTAATAAACCGATCTTGGTTACTTACCTGTCTTTAATTTGCTTCCTTTGGGCCATTGCTTCAGTCTCTTTCAGCTCCTAAGTTATTTATTGTTGCTATAAACTATGTATAAGACAATTCTAAGCTATAGTCTTTTAACTTGAAGCAGCTTTGGCTATCATTCAAAGAGAGATGTTTTATTTTGATCTAAACAAGTACTTCCCGACAATGTTTATTTATTCAGTTAATAATATTTTCACTAAATAAAAAAAATGTGTATATTTCTTTATAGCCTGCCTTTCTTCCCACTCAGAATGATGATAAGAAAAGAGTTTAATAGTCTCTTAGCATAATTTTTATGAGAGCATTATTTTATACTTACCTTTAAAGAAAACAAAATTCCCATCACTGTTTTCATAAACTGCATCAATGCTTGGGGGCAGTCCCCTCCAGAAGTAGGTAATCTGCATGGGGTATCCATCCATCACCCTGTTATTTCTGACTCGCCAAAACCATTGATCCTAGAAATAAGCAAAGGTACCTCTGATTATATTTGAAGGCATCTGGAATGATCACAATAGTTATTGAGATACAAACTTTCATTAGCATTACATTTGGACAACAATTTTGAATGTTTCTTTATCTCTTCCCATTTCCATGTCTTTACACTAATCATGGTGAATGGCTATAAACTTCTTGCAGACTTGGATTATGGACCAATTGTAATTTGCATGAATTATAAACAGAGCAAATGGAAATACACTGTGGGATTCATTCTGAAGTTAAAGCAAGCTGCTTCTTTGTACATTTTGCTAATCTGTATGATCAAACTTATTCATCCATCACTTTTAATGTTCCTTTTAATGTTGTACTTGTGTGTATGTTGTTCTTTAGTGTTTCTAAGAATATTTATTGTATCTTTGTAATCTGCTCATAGGTTTTTAGGAAGTAAGTGGTGTTCCTCTTTTTCAGTTGTAACAAATCATTGGGAAGTACATATTTTTATAGGAAAAAATGGATAAATCTATTGTGTTATTTCTTATCACAGTCAACTACTATATAAAGTTGTCACAATATGGCAAAGCCTTTAGGAATATCTTTATTTACAAGGATGTTTCTGAGCCCCACATTGGTTTCATAAATATTCTTAGAAAATAAAATAAAATTGCTGATTGGTTTTTGCCCACAGGTTTGTTTGGCAGGGTATTTGTCTAGGAGGTTGAGTGCATGACTTGAGTAAGATGGGCATGACTGGGAAACATCCTCACCAGTTTGTTTTCCACAATGGCCACATTGTGACTGGCAGCTGTCTCTTTTGCAGCCATTCCAACATTTCACATAAGTCCACTGTCCACCTCACAGGGCTACTTGGGGAAAATAGGAAATGGGAGCATATATGCCAACAATTGGGCAATGCTGTCCACAAGCATTCATTCAATGAATCCAAATAAAGATGGAGGGGAGGGAATCAAATAAAAAATAAGACTTGGAAAAGAAACGGATTGACTACAAATAGGAGTATATAATTTATCTAGTATATCTCAGTACAAAATAATGGCTGCTTTAGGTTGAATACAACTCCTGACAACTATGTGGAGTTGATGTAATCTTTTTTTTTTTTTTACAACAGTGCACAAACAATTTGTCATTATTTCCTTCTGGAAAGTTTTGGTCATCCAACAGCATCTAAATCAATCTCACATTCAAATAGATATATAATGAGAGTGATGGAGGAGATTATAATGAGAGTGACAGAGGGTCTCAGGGAAGTCCTGAATTAGCACTTGGCCACCATGACCATACTCACCCCCATGTCCCGTGTCCCGTGTCATGCCCACCAGGATCATACCCACCCCCAGCTATGCCCACCATAGCCACCTAGCCCAATCCCACGTGTGTCCCTAGCCCTCCAAGGTCAAACACAACCCTGATGCGGCCCTCAATAAAATTTAGTTTGACACCCCTGATCTAGATATTCTGTCTTCTTCAAGATGGCCTTTGAAATCAACAGTTCAGCCTTACTAGTGATTGGCAGGTTCTTTTCCTGCAAAATTTAAGACAGTTTCCCCGGGTGCATTTTTTAAAGGTTTTAAATAAGAGTTTAAGTAAGCAGGCCTTTCTGGAGAGTACAGTTTGCAGTCAACACATTCAAATAGAAATCCAGGTTGACTTTCTTAAGGCTTACTTTGTTAAGCGTTTTATTGAAATAGCTCTAAAGACTGATTCATAACTTTGCTTAGGGTTAGATTTGGCCTTTAGTGATGCAATCAGGGACATACACAGGCAGTCATTGAGTTTTGATCACAACTGACCCCAAAATTTATGTTGCTAAGTGAAACATTTGTTAAGTGAGCTTGTCCCATTTTACTTTTCTTGCCACCATTGTTAAATGAATCATTGCACTTGTTAACATAGTTGTTAAGTGAGTCTGGATTCCCCACTGACTTTGCTTGTCAGAAGGTTGTAAAAGGTGATCACATGACTCTGGGAAACTGCAACTGTCATAAACCTCTTGCCAAGAGTCTGAATTTTGATCATGACCATGGGGAGGCTGCAACAGTCATAATGTGAAAAATGGTCATAAGTCACTTTTTTCAATGCTGTTGTAACTTTGAACAGTCAGTATATGAACTGTTGTAAGTTAAGGGCTACCTATACCACAAAATACCAGAGTCAGGGCAAAGAATTTAACAGTTTGGGAGAGTACTAAATGACTTAGATGCATGATTGCTGCTCATATATTTAATTCATTCTGTTGTGTTAAAAATTGTGTTTGACAAAGGACTTTAGGAAGCTATATCAAAGGCTTTGAGGATTCATATGCAACATCGAGAACATTCCTGCTCTACGTTATGTCACATTATCACAGCTTATTAATGAAAAGATTTAATTATTCTCAATTTTCATAATAGTACTTTTTAAAAGTAAAAAAAAAAAACATAATAAACATCTCACTACTTTTATTAGCTATTTACTGTTCCCAATATAGCATTTGTTTCAAATATAGCTTTTAAAATTTGTTTGGTTTGCTAGCTACTTTAGTTATTCCATGTTGCAAGACATACGGCAGTACTTAAGGAAGGAGAGTAAAGCAATTTTTAGGATTAATTGCCTAACTTCCAGGATAAGAAAAATGCAAAAAGGCAAAATTAAATTCGCTCACAGAGAAACAGGTATCTAAGAAGACCTCACTGAATCATATTTCTCAAAGTCGTCAGAGATGTCAGGCTCCTAACATTTTATTCAAAGGCAGTTAGCGCAAAACAGTTATCTCTTCCCATGAATTATTTAGTTCATGAATTTAATCAGTTAATTCATGAAAGCCACTGAGTGACTACGGGCGAGTCACAACTCACCTCACGGAGTGGTTGTTGTGAAAATAGAAGGATGCGTGTTGGCTGTTTTGCTGTCTTGAGTTATTTGTAAAAGTAATAAGTGCAGGATATAAATAAATAAAAAAATAACGCCCCCACAACAACAGCCAGTCTTCAAAGACATTCATTCATACTTCTTAGCAGTACAGTCTGCAATAATTTGTACCTTCACTCTTCCAGTTGCTTTTTCAGTATTTCTCAAAAAAATGTAACAAACTCTGTTCACATCCATAATCCTTGCTGGTAATAATTTGCAACTATAGCTTCAGCTGATTTTTGAAATTCGCCCTTGTATGCATTGCTGAGCAAAAACTCAGATCCAAAAAAAGGATTTGCATAAGACCATCTGTATATTGCATTATATTTATGCCTTTATTTTGCACTCTTGACCTACCTTCTCTCATACACACAGAATATATATTCTGCATTCTTTAGGAATCCTTGGTTTAAAAAAAAGACTTCCATATATAATGTACTTAAATAAACAAACAAATAAACAAACTTTTAAAACTTTTGCTATGTTTATCACCTTCAGCATTAAAGGTAAAGGTTTCTCCTGTCAGTCAAGTCTGAATCTAGGGGGCAGAGCTCACCTCCATTTCTTAGCTGAGGGAAGCAGCACTGTCTGAAGACATTTCTGTGGTCAGGTGTCCAGCATGACTGTACACTGAGGCATATGGAATTTATTTATTTATGGACATTTATATTGCCACCTATTCGCACATGGTGACTCAAGGCTGCTTGCAGGAATATAAAACAATAAAACAATAAAGAGAATAATCATATAATAAAATAATATAATAATCTGCTGTTACTTTCTACCAAAGTAGTACCTATTTATCTACTCGCATTTGCATGCTTTCAAACTGCTAGGTTTGGCAGGAGATGGGGCAAATAACACTCTGTCTCATAGCGCTTGGTTGTCAAAACCTTTTTAACTGACAGACTCAGCGTTTTTAACAGCTGAGCCACCTTTCCTCCTCTTCAGCATTAAAGGTATCCAAATGTATTGTGTTGGGTCTTGTTACTAGAATTCCTAGGTTGTGTGACTAAGCTGGCTGAAAATCTTGTTGCCCTGACACATCTGGAAAAATGGGAAAGGGCAGTATATTTTAACTTAAGCATTAAAAAGTGGAGGATATTATCATCAGTTCTTTGCCATGTTCAGATCTCTCATGGATCATCTTTTGGTTTGCCAGTAGTATCCCCATGATCATCTTTACAGCTTCTATGGGAATATTTGGGCATCGGAGAATAAAGCCACTTGGCTTCATTTAGATTTAGAGTCACTCAAATTCACTGGGAGTTAGAAATTCAAAGTGCTTGTTGTAACCTATAAAACTCTTTATGACATGAGACTGGGTTAGTTGAAGGACACCGGTCATCATAATTTCTGCCTATCTTATATGATTAGTTTTCACACTTTCATAGTCCCGTTGATTAGACAGAGGCACTTGATAAGAGCCAGGAAGTGGGCTTTCTCTGTTGCACTACCTGCTCTTTGAAATGGTGCCCCATTGTTATCATAGTGGCCTTGAGCAAACTAAATTTCTATTTAAATGAACCCTTGACACCTGGATCTTCCCCCAGATCTTGGATTAGAATGGTTGGTGGATACCTTGTGGGGTGTAGTATTGGCATTCTTTCTCCAGATGTTTGTTTTATATGCTTTATGTATTGCTGTATTTTTTAATTATATCATGTTGCACGCTGCCCACCACATACATACGTACATATGTATGCCATCCCAAGCTGGTGGGCAGCTTGCAACATAATATAATTTAAGAAACCCTTCTTAATAACATATGCAAATGTGCAACATTTATGATCCATAGATTCTAAAAAGCCTTCTGATAATTTCTAGTTTTTGTTCTGGCCTTTGAATGATGGCTTGATTCCAAGGCAGGAGAACGCCCCTGCTATTAATTCCCAAATCTCTGCAAATCAATATTATGTTCTTTACATTCATAAAAGCTTGCTTCTCTACTAGTGCACCATCTACTAAATGGTCATTTAATACACTAACACATTTACTGATAGAAAATGAAATCCATGACCAATTGCTCCTTTAACACTGACTTTGTGATGCCAAAAGCGTATTACAGAGTCACACCAAAGCTTCTTCTGTTTCATGCTTTCATTTCATC